AACTCAGTGTCGTCCCGTGGCCGGCCATAGCCCCCTATTGGCCCGACACGTTTTGTGTGAATTGCCGACGTAGCGGCGAACAGAGAACTCCGGAACTCCACAGGCCCAACCCAGGCACACGGCGACCTGCGCCACGTGGCGGCCCCCGACGGCCTAACTTTTCGGGACCGCCTCCACCACGGAGGGATTTCCCCGTAACCCGTCCATCATAGTGTCCCGGCCCCTTCGGACCATGAGACCCTTGCGCGCGCACCCCTCATTCGCCTAAGTTGCATTCATACCCTTAAGACTCCCCCACTTTCCCAAAAATCCTTATCACACCCCTTTTCGTACTTTTAGGCCCACATCCCACTCCGATCAGGAAGTCGCGCCGGGCGTGAGGTTGGGCGTCACTGTCCCATAAAAACAGGTCAAGGGATCTGCGCCCAGGGTGCGAAGGCCCCTTTCACCCAGGCGGGAGCTGTGGCCGGTAGTACCAAAGGACCGAACTTTGGATGCCCAAAACCAGAAAGGTTTCAGCGGGGGACTTTCCACCAATTATCCCAAGGAGGAGTGTATGAAAGGGGATAACTGGTGGAAAGGGGTGTGACGCCCAACCTCACGCCCAGCACGACTTCCTGATCGGAGTAGGATGTGGGCATGGAAGTGCGAAAAGGGGTGTGCCAAGGATTTTTGGGAAAGTGGGGGTGGAGTCCCAGGTCAAAACTGAGATTTCCTGTGGCAGAGTTTTCGGGGGCACGGATGCAATTTTGTTTAAGAGGACGGACCGCTTCTGGTCATAAGGCAGATGTCATGCGCGGGTTATTCAAGGCCGTCCACTTCGCCTGTTTTGGGGGCGTCGGTTCAGGGCCAGGTCTGCCCGAAAGGGCTGTGATCCCGATGATTCGGGTCTTTGGGGGCAGCCACGTGGCGGCTGTCATCGCGTACTTGGGTTATGCCCTCTGGGTCCCGGGGCTCTCTGATTGCCGCGTCGCCGACAATTTCCACAGGGTGTGCTGGGCCTGTATGGGCTTATGGCGTTCCACGGGACGACTCTGAGTTGATGATACGGGAGAAGAAGACGGAAGGGAGGGAAGTTAGTGGAGATAACGACAAAATCGGGGGAAACGAAGTAGCGCGTGTGGTCGGAAGTAGGGAAATCAGAACACCGTGGATCGCTAGTTGTGGCACAATGAAACTCCCTAGGACACAGTCGAGTCTCTGTTAGGCAAGGGAACCTTTGTCGGAGGCACTCCTCAATCCACGGGGTGAAGTACTCCGGGTCGTACGACGAATCTGAGCTCCCGGAGCGTGTCATTATGTCATCGTAGGGCTGCGAAATTCCTAAGGGCGTGTCTTGGTAGGTTGCGATCACCGCATGTGAGGACGTGTAGGCCGCGCTAGTTGAATCGCACTTACACGTGTTCACATGGGATGATTTCTTCGTCGCCGACACAGGATGACCACATCCAATCAAGCATTATCCCCGCAGTCGTAGGTTTTTCATACATAGGTGGTTGTGAATCGATGTGCGTGGACACGTGTAAGTGCGTAGATCAGATCACACTTACGCGCGTCCCTGCGTGGCGTTCACTGGTTTCTGGGCAAACAGCTACCCGATCATCTAATCACTCCGTAATTTCTAAGCATGCAAGATGCAACAGCTCAATCAAGGGATAAACAAGAACGAAAACAGTATTGATGACTACGCAAAACTCCTACCCTACTCATAAGTGCATCAAGATGATAAGCAAAGCCAAAGATCAGGCGTAGGGAAAGCAAACGTACACGACATCCATTCATGCAGCATAACACACAACATCAGAGATTAAAATCGCAAAAGCGAGTGTGAGCGAAAGAAAACCAAACCAAGATTCCAAAGACAAAAACGGGCGAATCGCCCCGATCCGAAATCAAAATTTATATACACCAGCAGAGAGGGAGAAAAGACAAAAGAAACCGCAAATCCGCGTCCATCAACCTCAACTCCCTCTTTCCCTCTCTCTCTCTCCGATGCGGACCGTTCGTCGTCGCGCACCAACCCACGAAGTCATCACCCTGCTTAGTCCTCCCGCACCCGTCAAGTTTGCCCGCGCCCACAGTCCGTCGTGGCCCGCATTAACCGTGCACGTTTGGCACCAGCTCGTCGGGTCGCCCGACTCCCACTTCAACTCACCTCTTACTTCGCTCGTGAGCCGACCCTCACTGATCGCGCTACCCCGAGCTTCCAACAGCTGGTTAAGAGAGCTAACTAATCGCTCACGCGGAATTTTTAGCGTGCATGCATGCGCGAAGAACACGGAATTACAAGGACTTAGAAAGAAGATTGGAGAGGGAGCGCCTGCGT